TCCACCTCGAGCACGTCAGAAGTTTTGCTATGGCACTAGCACTTCAGAAGTTTTGCGATGGCACTAGCATTGGTCTGAAATTAGGCCTTGCATCCTCACTGAACTGGGGTCCGGGTTAGTGGCACTAAAGTGATGTTCTTGAGTTCCATCATCAGTCACATAATCCCTCGTCCAAAATCAAATACCAACTGCTCTCCGTTTTCTGACGCTCCAATTCTTTATCCATCTAATTTATTTGTGAATTAAAGCCAAATTCACATTCATTCCATTTTACAATATTCTTAAAGACTTTTAAACTACTGGTGTGATCATTCGTCTTCACAAGAAGTGGCCAGGTTTTGTTTTTGATAAAGGTTGCTTTAAGCAGATTGTCTGTAGAGTAGTAAATATGTTTTCCACTTTTGGCTATCCTAGCAACTTACAGTTAATTGGCTATGCCCTGAGTCGGTAACCCAAATATTTAAAAACACGAGTGGTTAAAGTTTAATCCACTGTCATGATGATGATGTGGCAACAAAAGCCGTGTGTCAGGATTCATTCTCTGCCTGGAGAACAAGGTGGCAGCAACACTCACGTAGTGTGGTCTCTTACGGAATATGGGATGAGTAAAGCAGACCTCGTTAACGGTCAGAAGTAGGATTTTCCACCATGAATGGATACCCAAACTGCTCCGCTAACCACACTAAAATTTGGAGTCATTATTTAGTACTTGCACTGGGCATCCCTCAACTGACCATTAACATAGCATCTGTGATCTTCAACTGCACAGTCATCTTCACCAGAATGGCAACAAAGGATCTGCACAAGCCTATCTCTATACTCTTCTGCAATTTGGCTTTTTCCGATCTCTTCACCAGCTTTTCTGGCTTCTGGATTTCCTTGCTGTTCATCACCAATCCTGACATTACAATCTTTGGATCCAAGGATATGCTTGCACCTTATGCCTTATATACTACATCTATTTTATCCACCATCTATAACTTGGTAAGCATTGGAATTGAACGCTACCTGGCTGTGGCTGAAAGCATGAGGACACGATTCAGGGTTACTAGAAACCATTCCATAGCTGCAGTTTTGATTAACTGGGTCCTTGCTTTCTTTTTGGGCTGCTTGCCCTTGATGGGGTGGAATTGCTTGAGTATGGAAGAAAATCTCTCTGTCCTCTACAGTCCGTTTTGCGTCGACTACCTCATCTTCATCGCCATTCCCAATGTTGTGGTGGCTTTTATCGTACCTCTGTTCACCTACCTTAGAATCATTATCATCTTGAGGAAAAGAAAGCTGAGAATGAAAGCGTGTGGGCAAGCTACTGGCACCTACAAATCAGCTGAAATCCAGGTTGCCAGAACCAGTATTTTTATTTGGCTTCTGGCATTGATCTCCTACGCTCCTTTTTTTGCAGGAGTCATATTCGATGCAACAAACCATCAGTGCCACATTGATCTCTACCCAGGCGTCTACATCTTTCGAAACTGCACGGCTATGCTGATAACCATGAACTGTTTGGGAAACCCCATAATATACACCCTGAAAGCCAAAAATCTGGGGGCTAAACTCAAGGCTCTGAAGTGCCTCTCTGCCAACCGCGTCCGCGCCTGCGCCATTGAGAACGTCTAGCCGGGACCGCCCTCGGTGCAGGACTGCTGCCTTGCCTGACCTAGTCAATGTTGGCAGAGGGAGATCCGAAATAAGCCCGGCTTTCTGCAGGCTTCCATCAGCAGCTTTCACAGCCTTCGGTAGCGAGCGCATGGGGTGCAGCGTTGCGGCGGTTCGCAGCTTTCCTTCATGAAGCGATCTGGTGTGCGTGCCGGCTCTGCCTAGCCTCTAAATGGAAACGGGAGAGCTGTTTTGCTCAGAGATAAAAATAACTCCATTAGCCGTGTTTACTTTGCGTTTGGAAACAGGCTTCTGTCGTGCTCACTTTGCTGCTGGGCTTCACATCCTTTCCGTAGTGCTTTCGTGTTTTAGAAGACAGTTAAATGGCTAGAAAACGGGGGAAATGGAATTTTACTTTCTCGTTTACAGTCAGTCAAATTGTCTCTGAATATTTGCTGAACCTCTTTATTAACGGGGGCACTCAGCACCGGTTGACTGCAGTTGCGACTGCAGTATGTAGCTGGGTTACACGGCTTGTGAGATATTTGTGAGTACACTTTTCATATTTCTGCTTATAAACAGAGGCACACCTCAGTCCGTGGCTTTTGAAATCTGCCCTGTTCTAGGAGAAAACCTTGCCTGAATTCTTCAGTATCGGAATTGCGTTCAAGTTGCCTGTACAAAACGAAATAAAAATGTCAAGACCAAGTATTTTGTGTAAGGAAAAGTGTCTTACCCCCTTCCTCTCCAAAAAAGAAATTGGCTACTGAGTAGTTGATCTGTCAGATCCTAGCAGAGATGGATGCTTATTCTTAGTTATACAGGGCTATCGTCTAGAAGCATTTCACTGCTTAAGTTTCTTCTCTCTTGCACAGTTACCAAGCTAGAAGCCTTGATCTAATGGACCCCGGTGACGTGAGCTCACCTTTCTGGTTTTAAAGTATGCTCAGATACCGCTCGACGTTCTTACGTCCATGCGCCAACCCATACTGTGATAACGTTCTCACATTGGTGACGTGCACACGCGCCCAGCCCAGCCCAAACCAGCCCTTCCAGTACAAGCTGGACTTTTCAGGGGGTTTCTTTCCCATTTGTTGGCTTTGTTGTCATTGATTCAGTGTTTCAAAAGGCTTGAGGGGACTAAGAGCGAAATCCCATTCATCCATCCCTGAGCGGGTGTGAGAGAAGAGCACGTTTTGCGTAAGGAATGGGTTCACCCGCTCGCCTAAGAAATCAGCAAGTGCCATTACATTAACAAATCCGTGGGGTTTTATGGTTATTGCTGTCAGGCCCCTCTCCCATGCCACTTTATGCTGCAGAAGTCCGGGAGAATTTCCTTCGTCTGAATTAAAATTCAGACAGTTGGGGAAATGGATGGTACTAAATGATGCCTAATTAAAATGAATTATTTCAGTGGATAATGTAGCTCAGGCAGGATAAATCTGGCTCCCTGTGTCTCTCCTGAACCCCGCTGTGCTGCCAGAGCTTTCCGTTGACGCCACCACCGCCAGCCCCAAGAGGCGTTCGGCTGGGAACGGAACATCCCGCTCCTGCTGGGCCTATTTCATCCTCAACTTAACGGCAGGAGCCTCAACCCAAACTGCGGGGCCGACGGTACCGATCGGCGCGGGGGCGGCTTTATGATGTGATATACATCGCACGGCGCGAGCTCCGCTCAGCTCTGCCTTGGCATCGGCAAGGCGATGGGTGATGACCAGCATCACTGCCCGTCCCAGTGACTGGCATCGCGACAGCAGCCTGGCAGCTGGAATCCGGCCGGAACCCCCTCAGGAGGAGATATATGTGTGTGTATAGCTATATGTCCTGGTTTCAGCTGGGATAGAGCTAATTTTCTTCACAGTAGCTAGCATAGTGCTGTGTTTTGGATTTAGTACCAGAAGCATGTTGATAACACACTGATGTTTTCAGCTGTTGCCAAGTAGTGCTCAGACTACTCAAGGACTTTTTGAGCTTCTCCTGCTCGGCCAGGTGCATAACAAGCTGGGAGTACAGCACAGCTAGGACAGCTAACCCAAACTGACCAAAGAGCTATTCCATACCATA